TTCGGCATAATAATGCCATCTTCAGGTGCTTACTCATATTGAATCCTATACTAGACCAAAATTATTTTCAGTACAAAAATAAATATTACAAACAAACAGATGGTTTAGCTATGGGAGCTCCAACATCTGCAATATTAGCAGAAATATACATCCAGAACATGGAGCACACACAAATATACAGCATATTAAAAAATCAGAAAATAATTGGATATTTCAGATATGTTGACGACATACTAATACTGTATGATATAAACAAAACAAATATTGACAACATGATTGTGGAATTTAATAAACTGTAGCCAACTATAAATTTCACAATAGAGAAAGAGAACCATAGATCTATAAATTTCTTAGATATAGAAATATATAGAGAAATGGAAAAGTTACAATTCTCAATCCACCAAAAACACACTGCAACGGACACAATAATACCAAGTGACTCATGTCACCCACATGAACACAAAATATCTGGTATTAAATACCTCATAGATCGAGTAAATAACTACCCCATCACCAGAGTAGCAAAAGATAATGAGATAGAAACTATAAACAACATACTCATAAATAACAAGTACAACACAGATATAATTACAAAACTAACTACAAATAGTAGAAAACAAAACATTGCAAAAAAGCAGAACATTACAGAGGATTCAGAAGAACAAAAAACAAAAACGAAATGGGCAACATTCACATATATAGGAAAAGAAACAAGAAATATCACAAAATTATTTCGAGACACAAAATTAAAAATAGCATTTAGAACTAAGAACAATTTACAACATATACTAAAATCAAGACCAGAAATAAATAAATATAACAATAGCGGCATATATAGTATGAAATGCCTAGATTGCCCCAAGGAATATATAGGACAAACCGGGAGGAAATTTAATACCAGATATAAAGAACACATACATGACATAAGACACAATAACAGCAATACAGGATACTCAGAACACATATTAAACACAGGACATGCATATGGTACTATAGAAAACACTATGGATATCATAGCAACAGGTAGGAAGGGGCAATACTTGAACACATTGGAGAACTACCATATATATAGAACGACAAAGAAAAACACACACATGAATAATATAAATAAAGAAATATACAACCCAATATACGACGAATTAAACACTATCTACACAGAACAACATAACAACACCCCACCCCCACCACATCTACTCCCACAACATCATAACTCACTCAAAACGAAGACAGAACACACACACATACCCAGCAGGCCCAACAGTATAACACACGCAGTCACAGGAGCAAGACACAACAAAAGCACGTGAGTATTATTAAAAAATTGTAATACCACAAGTAATAAATAAAATACGGAATGCGGTATTAATGAATAAAAAATTCACGTTACAGACACACACACGATAGTGAAGGAGTGCTCCAACAGAGGAGGATGGGCGTGACTGGCGTAGTGAGATGCGACGTAGCGATGAGGAATCCTGAACAATTTTAATATTTTTAACGTTTGACATTTGTCAATGTATATGATAGATATATATTTTAGTTATTTTAATGTGAGGACAAGGCATGCAATGAACTAGTTTGGCGTGGATTGAGTAAGCACCTGAAGATGGCATTTTTATGCCGAAACATGTAGTGCGAGTGAGAGAAGGAGATAGATGAGTGTATGCACTGCAAGACGGTTTAAATAAATCATGGACATAAATCAGTGCAACAGGACGCTAAAATATAACATTAGTAATAGAAGTTAAGTAAATTTAAATACAGGTAGGCCTATAGTATTATGAAGGTACAGTATTACAGTACTACTTTTAATAACATTTGTCTTAACCAGGTCTTCGATTAATCGTGATTTCCATGCCCACCATTATCCCGGATAATCGAGAGTTGACTGTATTAGTGCAAGCAGATCTCTACCTTTCAGATGATATTGATAGCTGTAACAAAAATGTGAAATTGCCTGATCAGTGGAAGGAATCTTATTTTACCAGTTCACAAGAAGGATGTTAAAACGGACTGTAGTAATTATTGGGGAATATCAGTGCTATTAACTTCATACAGAATTTTATCCAATATTCATATTTCAGTGTTAAGTTCATACATGTATGCACTTATTGAGGATTATCAGTGTGGATTTCAATGTTAACAGATCAACTACAGGTCAAATCTTTTGCATTTGTCAGATATTTGGAGAAAAAATGGGAGTACAATGAGACAGTACATCAGATATTCGTAGACTTGAAGAAAGCCTATGATTCAGTTAGAAGGGAAGTATTGTATAGTATTCTGATAGAATTTGGGGTACCCATGAAACGAGTTAGGCTGATTGAAATGTGTTTAAACAAAACACATTGTAAAATCTGTATAGGTAAACATTTGTCTTATAATTTTCCTATCCAGAATGGTCTAAAACATGGAGATGCTTTATGGCCACTCCTTTTCAACTTTGCTTTCGAATATGCCATTAGGAAGGTCCAGGTGGTACTGAAATTAATTGGGTCACATCAGCTGTTGGTCTGTGCTGATGATGTGAATCTACCGGGTGATAACATAGATCCTGTAAAGAAAAACACATAGTCTTTAACTGAAGCTAGGAAGTAGGTTGGTCTAGAAGTAAACACAGAGAAAACTAAATACATGTTGCTGTCTCGTCGACAGAATGCAGGGCAAAATCAAGACATAAAGGTAGCTAACAGATGTTCTGAAAATGTGGCACAGTTCAGATATTTGGGAACAACAGTAACAAATCAAATCTTTATTCAGGAGGAAATTAAGAGGAGGCTGAATTTGCGTATTGCTTGCTTCTATTCAGTTCAGAACCTTTTGTCTTCTTGTCTGCTGTCTAAAAACATAAAAATTGTAATATACAAAACTATAATTTTGCCAGTGGTTCTGTATGGGTGTGAAACTTGGTCTCTGACATTAAGGGAGGAACATACACTAAGGGTGTTGAGAATATTTGGACCAAAGGGGGATGAAGTGACAGGAGGTTGGAGAAAAATGCATATTGAGAAGCTTCATAGTTTGTAGTCTTCTGAAACTATAATTAGAATGATCTAGTCAAGGAGGATGAGATGGGTGGGTCATGTAGCACAAGTGGGGGAGAAGAGGAATCCATATAGGATATTGGTGGGAAAGGCAGAAGGAAACTCTGGGAAGACCGAGGCATAGGTGGTTAAAATGGATCTTACAGAGATAGGATGGGATTTTATGAATTAGGTTGATTTGGCTCCAGTTATGAACCAATGGATGGCTCTTGTGAACACGGTAGTGAACCTTCGAGTTCCATAAAATGCTGGAAAGTTCTTCAATAGCTGCACAATTGGCGGCTTCTCAAGAAAGGCTCAGCTCCATGAGTGAGTAAGTGATAACAAAAATGTGAAAGCCTTAAAGCAGTGGGCCTTGAAACTGTGAGAAGAGAATACATTTTTAACATAAAATCAAACTGAAATAATTCTCTTTAGCTGCATTTAATCGTGCCTTCCATAAGCACCCTCCAGAATATTAATCCAGATATTTAATAACATTGAATGATTAGATTGTGATGTTTGTAGGGATTATTCATTGCCAAACGAAGAGCACTGTGCAGCATTTTTATTTTAAAAATCGGGATTTTTTTAATCACAGATCTGATATGGCACTAATTACAAATGAGTTTATCTTAAACAATAATATAAATATTAGTACAAAGGGTTACATTTATTTGAATACAAATTTGTTTGGGTGGTGAGGGTTTGAAGGTAATTGGGGGGGGGGGATATAAGATGAACAGGGTTGAAAATTGCTGCTCTAAAAGCATACATCTTGATAGTAAGTAAACCACTATTTGAAATCTTCATGTAATTACCTCTCACAGATCTCATCTGTGTTCAGAATACCAGAAAATAGGCCAGAATCATTTTAAATGCTTTAAATGGAGAGGTTGCTTAAGAGAGCCTTGAAGACTAACTGAAACTGCTACTTCTTTTTCTTCTGCAATTGTATCCATTTTGTGTGGATCAGAGGACAAAATGTCTCCAATCTCTCCTTTTCAATTTCTTGTCAGCCAACAGCCTGTGTCGTCTCGTAAGTCTTTCATAAACATCTCAGTCTAAATTCATTTTTTTTATTATGCCTTGTTTTAACACTTTGCGGACTGCGCACCCTTTAAAAGTTTTTTTGCTTTTAAACATGGCGGACCATTCGCGTGTTAACAGGCTTTTAGAACGCGATAAGTTACAACACACTATACATCGCTCTGGCGCCACCTACATTGCACGCAACCGCCTGCAGATGCGTGATAAGACTCTGGAATGTTTAGTTAGTAGTCAGTAACTTGACCTCGCTGTTTACTTAACCGACTATAAAGGAAAATGCTTTGCCTTCTTCAAGCTGTGTGTATCAGCCAGTAGCTAGTGGGGAGAATGGATCAAGGACAAATTCTCCTCCGATGACATAGCTGACCTGCCATGTGAGACGCATAATAATGGATTAATTGTCATTCAGACAGCGACTGATGGGGGACAACAAAGAATTATGGCCAGTAAAAGTGACAGTAGCTCCGACGATAATGCGGGTAATAACATTGCGGGGACAGCAAAAAATCTAAAAAAAATGTAAACCCTGATTCAAAATTGAAATACAAAGCATTTCTGATGAATGTGGCAAAGGCCTGGGCTACAGTCCAGATGGTGGCGGCAGAACCAGGGTCACACAAAGACTTAGTACGACCGGGCCCATCATTTCCCACCCCATGAAGGCCTCATGTGGACCCCCCAGGGCGACTCTTGAGTGATATGTGGAAAAATACCCTCGTGAAAGTTGTGAAGAGTGAACATTCCAAGTGGAAGAATAAGTGAACAGTGCACAAGTTAGGGTAGTATGTTTAAAAATGCCAATCACCGGTCCGCGAAGTGTTAACCATTCTATTTTCATGGATATGCCACTGAAACCATTTCTCCTCTGAAACTGCTTTGCAGGATGCTGAATGTTAAAATAAAAGTTATTCACAAATTATTTTCTAGGTGCAGATGAATCTAGTACAAAATGTAATTTGAATGAGACATTTGAAATAAAAAATGAGACCATTAAATCAGACAACAGGTTTTCATTAGAAGCAAGCCAGCAAGATTTTCAACCTGACAAACTGTATAATTCCACTAGAAAGAAAAGAATAACTGTTTCACCTCTCAGAATGCAAGGACATAGCAGGACATCAACACCAAAAGGTATCAAGTTTATTAGTCTAAATGAAAAGAATTTTTATTATTATTATTATTATTATTATTATTATTATTAAGTATGCATTTTTGACATGAACAAATCTGTGGTCTAATTGATTCCTTTCATTAGCCACATGAAACTCGTTTTATTCTTAATAGGAATTTAATTTTTTTATGCACATGCACGAGAGACAATACTGCATTTACAGAAATATAAGATGGTGTTTCTTAGATTTTATTTTCATTCAGAAATGAGAATCGTCTTATATTTGCAGACAAGGAATATACATGTAACAAGGGAACCAGTTTGATCATTTTTTGGAAATAGAAAATTTGCAGCTGTTGCATATTTTAGAGCTCACATATCCACAGAGTATTTGTCAATATGAAGATATTCCAAAAGCAAATTTCTTACATTTTCATTGTCACTGCTGTCATATATATGCTTTTGGTGCAGTGGGTTTGCTTTTGAAATATATTCCATAACAGTAAAACATCCATCCGACAAGAATTTAGGTGTTAAACATTTGTATCATTGCTCAGCCTTTGGTTGAATGGTGAATAATGACAGGTGGAAATATTCTCATATTAGTATTGTATGAAGCCAAAAGCGGTATTCTCGACCTCCAGCACAGTGGTAAGCCCCATCATGACATTTACTTGGTGTGACAAGCTTTACCATGAAAAAAAAATGGTCTTCTGGTTTGCGATGTTGTGAATTTCTTAAAAATTATAATGTTTTGGAGTAACTTATCATCTTCATATTCTGCATCGAAGACTAAGCCAAGCATGAAACAAGCAGAACCAGGTGGCAAGCAGGGCTTTATTGCATAACAACTTAAAAGCCAACATACTTCATATTCACTGCTATGAGAGTGTCAGATTCAACATATTTATTCTCGTAATTTATGCACCCCCCCAGCATGCAAAAAAGAAAACAAAAGTTGTGTCTACAGTTGTGGTAAAGTGTTAATATATTTTTCAAAGATTAATTTTACACATTAGACTGAGTTAATTATAGTTGAATGCAGTGTGACTATGTACTTCACCATGCAATAAATTAATGAACATTTGGATAGAGTCTCCCCCCCCCCAACACATAATTATTTCAGAAAACAAAATTAAAGTAAATGCTGTGTGGTAACACAATGTGAATATTCCAGCAAACGCACTGCATGTAGTTCCTTGATGAACCCTAAGATGAAAATGTCCCTTGAAACCATTTTGACTGATATCATTTCCACAGATAGTCTGATTAAAGGTGACAGCACAATATGGAAATTTGTGTCTACAGACTCATGAAGTTCTTTGATGAACATTGAGATGAAAATTTTCCTTCATAAAATTTGAATGGCACTTAATTTTGATGGAAATGCAGTTTATGTTGATGTTACGTATATGATAGTGCAATATGGATATTCATGCTTATGACACCATTATAGGATTCTCTGATGAACATTGAGATGAACATTTTGACTGATACATAATTTTTGTGGAAAATTCTATTAAAGCTGAATGAAATATGGCAACACAGTGTGTAAATTTGCATCTGTGGATTCCACCACATAATTAAATGCTTAGCATCGAGAAAAGTGCACCTTAATAATATTTTGACCACTGCATAATTTTTGCAGACAACACAGTTAAATTTCTCCATATTAATGCATATAATTTTAATCACTTTGTCACAAAAATAATGTGCTGATCAGAATGTTATAAGGGTAATAATGCCATGTTTAGTCTTTTTGCTTAATTTCCTGTCTAAAAGGAGGGTTTATGCATTATTTGGAGGCATAAATTGTGGGAATAAATATGGCAATTCAAGAGTGGCACAGATGACCTCAGATTTCAGAAATTGGCCTGCTTCTGAATATGGGGAGCTAGGAGCTTCAGTTGAAGTGCTCATGCGCATGTTTATTGAGGTAGATGTCCTTGCTGAAATGCTCAAACCCCACTGCAGTTTGCTTGTAGAGACTGGACATATGAAAGTTTCATGGGACATGAATAAAGAACCCTTTCTCTTAATAAAATCAGATATAGTGGTCTACTCAAGTGCCTCCCATTATGTTGCCAGGTCACAGTGAATGGGAAGGAAGATTTCAACCCGATAGGATGGCTTCCAAAGTAGAAACAGGTACTGGAATAGGAAGGCAAAAGTATAGGCCAGTAAGATGTATAATGGAGAATATAAGAACAGGAACATATTGTCACATGCATGCAGTTACTGTAGATGAGGTTTTGGATTGATGACTGGATTTATTTGACTTTGAAACAACTTGTGACTGTTCTTCACAGTTCAGTATTACACATACTATGTCTTCTCAGTCTGCATGATGGTGGCTTCCAGCAGCAAACATTCCCCTTCCTCTGGGCTCCTGAATGGACTCCGGCCTCAGCTGCTAGCTTCTCACGGTGGCAGCTCACAACTGGACCCAAGCAGTTTTCTTACTAATTCACCAACCAACTATTCTTCACATCACTGACTCTCCTGCTTATAACATCTTGGCATGGACTGCACAGAGAACACTGTTCCTCGGTGGCTGTTTACAGGCCATTGTCTAATTGTCTGTTCCACAATCGTTTCCTAATAACAGGGCTACATGCCGCAATATATATTCCATGAGACAATGGCTGGTATGACAATCCCTTGAAACTTTATACATTAACTCAAAATAGCTGAAACTGTCTACAATCCATGATGATCTCACAGCATAACAGGGTACAACTGATATAATTATAGAAATAAAGCACGTCTGAGACATCTCTCTTATGGAGCCGTAAAGAAGTCTGGAGGATTAGAAGACATTTAGAACATTAAAAGAGTGTAATTGGGCAGAGGTCACTTATTTCAGAATCCTCACTAGCCAGGGCTGGAAATTATTGCAGTTCAATAGGAACTAGTTAAAATCTGTGACAGTACAACTGGCAGGTCACTGGCACATATAAGGACACCTATACAAATTGTACTTAGTTAATTATCCCACTTGTATCGAGTATCAAGGCTACTGAAATATATATACATATATTGTGCATTTGTCAATGCTTGTAGTACACAGGTACCATGACTTTGAATCTCATTTTATGAAACCCAGTGATAAACATGAAGTCCCAACCAGCAGACTTTTACAGTGTATTCAGGGTGCAGGGTAGTTGATGGGATAAGCAATGGGAGCACAAAATAATTTTCTTGGCCACAGTGCAAGAGTAACTGAGCAACACCATTGTATTCTATTTTGGATCCAGCCATTTTGCCCAATAGGCTAATTTTTAAAGCATATTTGCAACACCCCTCGTTGGTGAGGGTGTTTGAGTATGCCAAGGACCCTGAGAGCTATACCAGCGGTAGCGTAGCTACTGGCAGGGCCTCCCTTGCTGGACAGGTCAAAGGGTAGGCATCAGACGAAGAGAGACACCGAAAACTGATGCCGGAAGCGGCGTCATCAGCGGCAACTTGAAGCACAGAGAAAATGATGCTCAAGATGGTTCAAGTTCGTATAGCAACAGGCGTGACCAGAGTGGTTTGAATGGCTGTTGTACTGCGATCTGGAAAGCAAATGGAAAAACTACCACATTATCACTTTTCCTGGATAGTCTCTTTCCAAAAACAGAAGATCGCATTAAGTGGAGAAACTGTTTTGGAAGAGGCTGTGGACCTGTCGTCTGACAGATTACCGATGAATGAAAATGAATTTGCAACAAAGTATTAAAATATCAGTGTTTTAACATGTAGCCTAAACCGTACTCTCTAAATGCCACCTGTATCACAGAAATGTGTTGACCAGACTGGAATATCATAACTTCATTCTCACAGTTTTAGAAGTAATTATTAGCTTATGGTGAAGCTTGAACACATTGTTCCATGAATCATATTTTACATGTTGTACATATTTTTAGGCTGATACCATAATTTCAGTGTATTTTTAATTGACATATTTACATCTTTTAATGTATTCTTCATTTTGTAGATGATACAGATGATAAAGAAAATGAAATCTCAGATTCTGAATCAATGAGTACCACATTTGAAATACCATGTCCAAGTAAAGACAAATTTTGTTCATCTAATATTGAAAATATCAAAAGTGGAAGAAGGAAGAGGTCTTTTTCATGCCCACAAGAAAGAATAGACGAGGAAGGTCATTCAAAGGCAGTATTTTTCAGCCCAGTAGGAAAATTGGTTGCACCTTCTGAATCTCAACTTCATCCTAAAAGAGGTATTTTACTTAACATAGCAATAACATTGTTCAGTGCAACTTCAGAATTCTTGCTGATGATGGTATTGTACTGTTTCTTAGGTACACCATTGAAGGGTACAAAGATACCAACATTTGTAAAAAAGATGCCAGATTTCACAAACATTCATAAAAAAGTATTTGAAAAAATGGAATCTGTTGTTGATTGTCATCAGAGGAAACTTGAGAGAGCCAAAATGTTATTCTCTCCCAAAGCTGTGAAGGTGAGTGCTTTTGCATGTTGGTGAATATGCATGTGTGTGTACTTCACAAAAATTGTCTCCACTTTGAACCTTAAAATGTATACAAAAAATTGTTTTTCTGTATACTCAGGATGTGCAGCCAGTGATGGTATTCTCTGCCCAGTCATCTACAGCCAAACAAATGCTATCAAGAAATCCAATGACTCGTATGTATTCTTCAATTTTCCATTCACTTCTGGCTGGTGATATTTTTCACTGACAGTACTCATTTATATGATCACCTATTGGTTACAGAGAGAAATGAACTTCCTGCGAACCAGGTGATTAGGAACATCCCACAGAAAGCTGCTGCAGAAAGGAATATTTTTCAGCATCCACAACCACATAAAGGGAGAGTGATTCAGCATAATGATATAAAACGAATGGTTGCAAACAAATTGCCATTGCAAAAGTCACGGTGAGTCTAAACACATGATTCTTGTATGTAGTTAGATTTTCAATCAGGAAATCCCCAGACTAAATCCCAATCAAATATTCATTTCTATTTACTTTTCTATCTTTGGACATCAAAATAATCATTGGAATGATACATAAGCTGAACCGTGTTCATTTACATCCCAAGACCCTGCAGTATTCTGCAACATCACACTGTGTTACTAAAGAAACAAAGCACCAGAATAGAAATATCTGGCATCACTTCTACAGTTGCCTTTAAGTTTCCTCCAAATCGCAGAGCTGCTGAGGCAGAGATGTTTTATGATGCTACTAGCAGAATTGACAGGCTTTTGGCTTACAAATTACAAAATAAAAACCTCCCCATATTGTAGAAGATGTTGAAAATTCTCTTTGCTGTTATGCATATGTTTGTGGCAACTCTGTAAAAAGTTTACGTTCATGGCGTGATTTCTTTATGAGTAAACTTAAGACTCCCAGTTGCCTCTGCAAGGCATTTGAGGGAGTTCTTTATGAAAATGTTTAACCATAGCACTGATATCTTCCAGTGTCTTTATTGAGCATATACCAGTCAGTAAGTCTCTGGCTACAGGCAGATGACTAATTCAGTTCCCATTTGAGTTAGACAGTTTTCTCTTTGCTATCACATGAGATTGCGCTCGGATATCACAGTCAGTATAGTGACTGGCTACAGACTGGACAATGGGAGTCAGAGTTCAAGTCTCTGTGGGGTCAAGAATTTTTACTTCTCCATGTCCTCCAGATGGGCTCTGGGGCCCACCCAGCCTCCTATCCAATGGGTACTGGTGGCTCCTTTCCTAAGAGTAAATCAGCCAGGGCTTGAAGCTGATCACTCACCTCCAATTAGTGCTGAGGTCAAGAAAACGTGGGTCAGTACCTCCAGTCCCCCATACGTCTTAATAGCATAGTGCTTAATTAGTTGAGCACATGAAGAACTTTGCCCTTTTTATCACACAAGATTGGCTCTGGGTGCCACCCAGCTGCTTATCTAATGGGTACTAGGGACTCTTTTCCTTGAGGTGAAGCAGAGTGTTAATTTGACCACTCAATTGCTTCTAGTGCTGGGGTTAAAAACGAATGGAGTTTTACTTCTGTTCCTCCTCTCTTCAGAGCATGATGCTTAACCACAGGAGCACCTACTTTTCTGTAACTTCATCAGCTATCACAGCTTAGACACTCTGACATATTCCAGTACAGAATGCTGAATGTCTTCATTGCCCACTATTCTTCCTGCTGCATCCTCTTAAAATATCCTGCCAGACCCTGAAACCTGAGGATCTCATGTTCTGAAACTGCTGAACTAATCTAGCATCTGCATTGAACTCAGAATATTCTCACACGCACTTTGGCAAAAACAGTGAAAATTTGAGGACAGTATGAACTTAACTGAAATGAAAATAAGGAAAGGGGGCAGGGCTCTGAGTGATTATAGGCTCTACGGATTCTTCACCTCAGCACCAGATTTAGGTGAGTAACCAGAGGAGAGGCAGTCCTTGGTAATTGGCTAAAAGGTTGGATATATCCTACAGACAATCTGGACACTCTAGAGAAGAGAAAATTCCCTGCCCAGCATATACTCATAGACTAATTGCTATACTGACAGCTATTCCAGCTACAAACATTTTGTATGTTCTTTTGATCTATTTTAATTTGCAGAGGAGTACGTGAAGAGTCCAGAACAGTAATTCGTGGAGTAAGGTTGAACAGGAGATTTGAATTGCAGATGGCACACAGGAAACTGAACTGAAGATTGGAAAATTATGAAAGTATTAATGACATTACATTTCAAGAGATGTTTTCATACTGTTTTATACTGTGACATGGAAGGTGCAATGCTCGGTAAACACCCCCCCCCCTTTCCAGTGGTGCATGGACAACATAGAGAAAACCTTGCTGCTCAGCAACAGATATCAGGTATTGTTGTCAGGTGTTTCTACCTATGCATTGCCTAGCAATAGTCACTGCACGGACTTGCCTGTTGCGTGACATCATAGCCTAGCAGGGAGAGGTGTTTACCAAACGTTGCATAATGATGGAAGGGGTGGGGGTATGAGATGTCACCGTGAGAACACAAAGTTCACGTGACCCCTACTTCCTGTTGCCCCATCCATGTCACACTGCTCCCTTCTAAAGGTTGTTTCTCCCAAACACCTTAACAGTACATTCCCATTCCTTTTTGTTTGAAGGCTGTGCATGCTGTGTCTTCTGTTGGTTCGGCTACACCTCTTGCAGTGACTATCCTCCAGCCATCACATCCGCTCCCTTCTTAAGATTGTTCGTCCAGAACAATTCCATATTCCAGCGTTTGTCGATCCACTGTATCACATTCACTCCTCATTCAATCTGGGGAGGCCGGTGTTTCTACATTACCAGTTCCTCCTCTGCTTGCAGTATCTTTTTCCGCTTTGGAGGGGGTCGACCCCTGCACAATGTCCAATCCATGATTCTCTGCATCCTGCTGGAAGCCTTTAGCATTTGTTTCATGTTTTTTGGACCATAGATCTCATATAAGATTTTCCTTAGTGTTCCTCCACTTCCTAGAAGAGCTCGCTCTCCCAGGCTCCACTTCCAGATGCCGTGCATGGTTGTCTCATTCTTCCTCCTGTGTAGCGGCCGTTGTGACATGGATGGCGCAATGCTTGGTAAATACCTCCCCCCTTTCCAGCGGTGCACGGACATCATAGAGAACACCTTCCTGCTCGGCAACAGATATCAGGTATTGCTGTCAAGTGTTTCTACCTATGCATTGCCTAGCAATAGTCGATGCATGGACTGGCCTATTGCGTGACGTCACAGCCTAGCGGGGAGGGGTGTTTACTGAGTGTTGGGTAATGATGGAAGGAGGGAAGGTATGTGACATCACTCATGAGAACGCATAGCTCACATGACCCCTACTTCCTGTTGTGCCATCCACGTTACAATATATATTATATATGTGTGCATTTACATAATTTCTCCATATTTTGGACAATTCTGTGGAGAATATTGTGTGTGAGTTTTAAATGCTGGTACTACAGGTTGTGTAAAGCCATTTCTTGACGTGAGATCAGAAAGATAAAAGTTCTTTGTCATTTGTCATTTAATTTGAATCTTAATTTTAAACCAGTTACCTTCAACATTAGCAGATGGTATCATATTTATCATACTAGAGAAACAAATGGCATCACTTTCATGATGCTATATACATATATACATAGGTAAGTCAAAAATTATCCACACTCTTGTTTCCCAATCCATAAATACAAAAGTAGGGGTTGAACAAGTACTTCACTTTTCTACATAGTCTCCTCCCTTTTCGATGCACTTGGTCCAACCGTCCAAAAGCTTGCGTATTCCCTCCACGAAGAAGGTTTTCGGTTGGTCGTGCAACCATTTATGCACCGCTTCCCCCACTTCTTTGTCCGTAGAAAATCAAAAACCTTGTAAAACATCTTCAAGCGGTCCAAAGAGATGATAGTCAGAAAGGGCGAGATCTGGGCTGTAGGCAGGGTGTTCCAGCACCTCGAAACACACATGGTTAATGGTTTCAATGGTCTGGCCGTCCTTGTGTGAGTGTTCATTGTCATGCAACAACAACACTTTCTTCGACAATAGGCCTCGGCGTTTGGTGCGAATTCCTGGCTTCAGCTTGTTGGCCAGCAAATCACTGTATCTTGCACTGTTGATTGTACACCCTTTTTCCAGGTAGTCTTCCAGTATAGGCCTTTTTGAGTCCCAAAAAACGGTTAGCATCACCTTTCCCACGAAAGATTGAATTTCATCTTCGTTTGCCATCCCGGGTGTTTCCACGCCATACTCTGGCTTTTGGATTCTGGCTCATAGTGATTAACTCACATATGAATTTCATACCCTGACACACCTTCCAATCAGAGAAATCGGATCACTATTCTTTGTTAATCATTGGTGCACACTGCTAGCAGAGCGGCCATGTTTACACTGTCACAGCATCAAGGAAAATGATGTGATCAAGGTAAAACTTCGATCACATGACCACAGTAGTACCATCTCTAACAATGCATGCGTAGGAGGCAGTGTGACAAACCTAAAGATGTGTTATGGAGAAAGTGCGGATAATTTCTGACTTACCCTCATAAAAATCATACTGATCTAGAAAATGTCATTTGTTTTGCACATTTGACAGTGGACACAAAACTGTAGCAGCATTAATATGATAGTATAGTAAACTGCCGTTTACCTGGCATGAATGGCGTCTATTGATTTCATGAGAACTCTTACAGAAACCCAATACAAAAGTCAAAAATGACAGAGATCAGATATACATAATGTAACATGACCATGAATTCACCTGGTCCCAACTGTAATGACACTTGCATGAGGGAGGCTAATGGGCAGCAGAGCAATACAAGTGAGAAACTGATAAAACAGTTTATCATGGTGACTTATGCTAGTGTGCATTTCTCTATGGGTTTTTTCTTTCCTAACCCACACACACACATTCCAAATTCTTGGCACACTCTAGGCTGGTAACTATCACATAATTTTTTAAAAATCTATTTGAAAAATTATGTCCGTGCACCCATTTTGCTCTTTGAAACAAAAAACTGTTGATTAATTTCTAATATCAAATCAAGGTTCTTTCAAAATTCTGTATTTTTGAAAATGATGGAATGAAAGGTACAAGCTGCCTAAAATGCCAAACAAATGGCCCAGTGAGATATTGGAAAACAGGCAGGACGATTTTATGCATAGTAATGATTGAACAGGAGTCTGGAATGAAAAATTATGGTAAAAATATTTTAAAAGGAAACAGGAAGGCAAAATATACAGTGGGAAGAAATGAACTATGACATGCTATAACCTGCATAGTAGATTTGAAAGAATACCACTAACAAAGTCACATTGCTAAGCACTAGTCAATTATGAAGAAAATGATAAGATCATTTAATAATATAATACTAAGGTTTATTAACATCATTTTTCTTAAGTGTTATACCATAATGTGTAAACTTTCTTACAGTGCTAAGCTACAGATGTTTCTGATAATTATAGCCAAGCATGGCAATACCATTGGCAAATCTTAATGTAATAAAATGTGATATATATAATTACAATGTGTTGTATCTTATGGTTATAATTGTGGACGAAGTATATTATTATTATTATTATTATTATTATTTTACTGCAGTTGGGTGTTGACCCGGTGACAGTAGATCTTACACTGATACAGACAAGGAAGGACTACATAAAGGGAAAAATACAAAACAAAGTACATACAGTAAACAACATACACACGGTGCAGATCCAACACACACAGTGCAAAATCCAACAAGTTTTCCATTCAACCTCCACCTAAGACTTCCTTACTTGTAAATGTTTCCCTAACCCTCTTCCTAAAAGTGTTTAATTTATGGGTGAAAGACACTAGTATGCCTACAGGTAAACTGTTCCAGTTTCTTATGGTCCTATTTACAAAGGAATATTTGCTAACATCTGTTCTTTGTTTCCTATTCCTAACTTTCCAACTATGATCATGCTACTCACGTAGCACGGTTTAAGCAGGCTATCCCCTATCGCTTTCCAAGCCGGTCTCCTGGTGTATGCCTTGTAAATGGCACACAGACGGGCTATCAGTCTACACTGTGCCAAAGTTTCCCAACCAGATTCATTTGTAGGATTTGCATATTTAGCCACTCTTCTTTGTGCCCGATTTAAAGCATTAACTTGCCATTCTCAGTATGGATCCCAAGATACTGCACCATAGTCAAGCATCAGTCTCACTAATGGCGTATAAGCCTGAAGTTTTGTGGTGTTATTTCACTGTTTGAGTATACGCATTATTAAATGAAGGGCCTTCCATGCTTTTTGTAGTGTATAGTTTACATGATCTGCCCATCTTAGTTTGCTGCATATAATTATTCCTAGGTACTTCAAATTATTTAACTTCAGAATTAATTGATCCCCAAAATAATATGTTGGTCAGTCCTTCACCCTAGCACTCGTGAAACTTACCGATTTACTCTTATCTGGATTTATCTTTATTTCATTTTCTACCGCCCATTCCCCTAATTTATTTAGATCCGTCTGCAACTTGCCAGTGTCACTACTGTCCAATATTGCCCTGTATATTATGCAGTCATCTGCAAATAACCATATATTTGAGTCAGTGTGCCTCCAAATACTGTTTACATAAACTAGGAATAGTAACGGTCCTAAAACACTCCCCTGCGGCACTCCCGACGTCACTCTGACTTCTTCAGAGAGGTGCCCATCTACTCTGACTCTCTGCGAGCATCCTGAAAGAAGTTCCTGTACCCATAAAACTACCCTGAAGGCCTTTGAAAAATCTATCGTTATCGCGTCTGTCCTGACTCCCTCGTCCAGGACATCAGCAATATCCTGACAGACTGTGACTAATTGACTTTCACACGAGTACCCTGGCCTAAAGCCATGTTGGCCCTCATATAGCCATTCACTCTTTTACCAGATTTGTCTTAGAAACCCTGCTATTACATGCTCCATTTGTTTGCAAACCACTGATGTTAAACTGATCGATCTCCCCCTTTGTAAATAGGGACCGCTATAGCCTTTCTCCAGTCCCCTGGAATAGCTCCATTGTTCATTGTTATGTCCAGCAGTCTCACAAGGTACGGAATCATGGCTTCCCCACTCAACTTTAAAATCATCCCAGGGATACGATCTGGCCCGACAGATTTCTTTCTCCTGATTGCTGATAACTGCTTCCTTATAATATTAATATTGAAGGGATTTGCTGAATCCATTGATTAGATTTGTTGATTATTTCGCTCACCACTGAATACAGATGCATAATAAGAATTTCTATTGGATCTGTGATGGGATTGTCATTATAGCCTTTGATCGCCAAGATATTTTCTCTATTTCGTCTGCGCCTTTCAACATA